ATTGAATACACCGATGCTTAACGAGAGACAACGGTATTCAATGAACCACACAAAAAATAAAATAAATCAGTTTTTATTTTAGAAATGGTCAACATTATAGATAAAAGCTAAAACTAGATCAACACAAAAGGATACTCCCCATTGTCCACTTTTATTTAAAATTGTATTGAAATAAAATACTTCAAATTCTGGCCAGATTAATCTACCCCATAACAGAGAATCAATTAAAACAGTGGACCCTGTACGGAAAGTTTAAGAAGCATTGATTAATTATAATTCAATCACATACCGATACTGATAATAGTAGTTGTAATGATTGTCTTCAACAGTTTCAGTCGAAGTTTAACAGATCCAGTAAATAGACCATATAAAAGACATGGGCCAAATAGCAAAATTAATTCACTACGAAATACAAGAATTGCAATTCCAGCTGATGTAACAAATTTGGTTTCATTGCGAGTGATCAAATGACCCAACGAATACAAGACTACAATAGGAAGGAGAATTCATAAACATATGTACTTTTAGTTACTACTAATATTTTAATCAAATAACCCATTTGCAATGGAATGTGAGCTACATTAATTATGTGACAGTTAATTATCCTAACCGACTACTGTAAGAAAAATGAACTGGGAATGTTTCAAGTTAGTGCTCTGATGATTTAAGTCTAATGCTAAAACCAGTTAAATACAGATCTATATGATGAACAAAGTAGAAATCTCAATGACTAACACACATTCTGCTAAAACTTCATTTAATAATAAGCGAACAAAATATCCATGAAACCAAAGAAATGCCATTGGAGGAAGGTGACAAAAGTACGCCATGAAGCATCTGGAATTGGAAGGTGCTAACTATTAAATTGAAAATAAAAGTTTGGCATGGTCTCAATGTTTTGGATGTAACTTTATAAAATGCCAATTATGAGCGGTGCTGAAGAGTCATAGAATAAATTGATACAGTAGTTTGATGCTCCTTTTCTTTCATTAATCCCATGGACATTATTTAATTTTGAAATAATCTAGTTTTCTAATTAACCACATTAACTGTAAAAATTAGAACACAAAAATCATAAAGTTCCAGGTTATACCGAGAAGTTTGAACTGAAAATTGGTTTAAAAAAACTCATATTCACCTTTTACCAAATCAGTAAATAAGAAAACTCTCGCAGCTTTTCTGATAATAACAAATTGGATTTCCAAACCATTGCACAAGCACAAAAAATAATCATGGGCACAGATGAGTGGCAATTAGCCCTGGGTTCGAGTCCTGAAGCGAACATTTAGTCTAGGATGCAGGTACATCCGGCAGACGAGTCCCAAATGAGACGGAACGCACGTCAAACTGGATTTCACTGCTAGCCACCATCTATCTCTGCTTACAATGTTTGTGACTTAAGACAGTATCGAGGCAATCCGCACAAGATGCACATATGTCAATAAGAGACTGATAAATTTCAGTCCTAAACATCAATAGAAATATTCAAATCAACCAATACAAATAAACTAAAACAATCATCTTTCGAAAAATATTCAGTATCATGAAGATTAACTAATTCGATCCTTATTAAGCACAAGATAGAAATGTGATTTGTAATTTGTACGTAACCTCAGGGTGTTCGATTTCGCTGATTTAGACGGGGATAAACGAACCACAAACATGCTCGCATGGCTACGTAATGCAATAGAAATGAGTGTTTTCAATATTCACTAAGCAAAACTATAGTGTATATGCATCCCAAGTTAACTAGTGAGTCTCCTGGTATATTAATCTCTGAAAATAATAAATGAGAGCGTTATTTCTGAAAGAATGTGTATGACAAATTTATATGAAAATGGGAAAAGTGGACAACGCTGAAAAACATCATTTGACATTATTAGTTTTGACGAAATTTCACTATAAACTCATTCAGCAGGTACTTGAGGTTGAGTAACGTTCTAGATGTGGGGGGTAATGATACTACTGGGTTGCCTGAACCAAAGTAGGTAGAGAGAGATTCGAATTGTAGCCGGAATTCAAATGCTCCAACTAAAAAGCTACAAACACACGTTTTGATCCGAAAAGTAATGTTCGATTACAGAAACTCGACAACATTTTTGTACATCTTTGCGACGTCTATCAATGATAGAAATTACCATTAAACCTGCCAAGAAGGTCGAACCCTGCCTTAAGGTTAGGAGACATCATCATAGTTTGGTATCAATAGGTATGTTTGCGTTCCAGGATCTGGTGAGAATTAGTTAATTCATATTGTTCTGGAAGTGATTAGACTATTGATTACTTAAGGAAAATGATTTTGAAAGGTTGTTTAATCATTTAGTATTAAAATACCATTAAAAATTTTTTAGAAGCAGTGAGTAGGTAAGAAACTGAAAACATTTCAGAATAATTAACTAGCAACTGAATATAACTAGATTTTGAGAAGAGAGAAACAGAAACACACAAACATTTTAAGCTTCATACAGTCTGCTTTTTAAGACAGGCAGGACTGAAGTCTGGTCAGCTTTGAAATTAGTATACTACCCGCTACTTAGAACCTGATTATGAGTACTTGTCTAGAGAGAAGAGCCAACTTAAAATTGACATTTAGGATCGTTTCTATTAGCATTACAGACGACTGATTTAGAAACTTACCAGCGAAAGGATTTGAAATAAGCAAAAGGATTAACTTGTTCCGACTAGACTACGCTTATGGGAGGATTTTGATTAATTAAATAAGCTTTTGCTTGGCACACCTTTGTAGTTTCCTTATAAACACCAGGAAGACAATTTTATGATTATGTATGCTATTTGCTTATATACCTTGTTGATTACGAAATAAAAAGGATGAAAAGAGAATGTCTTGTGCTTAAACCAGGTTGGTGGATATAGAGAATACAACTAAGAGAGTTGGAAAACTCTGATTCCAAACCATCGGTTCACATGCAATTCAAGATCCTGAGAAATCGAATGGAGTATGGACCTATTGTCGGACCCACACTACTATGAGAATCCATCTCAAAACACTTCCCCACTATATTGTGGATTAGACCTCTGGTCCAGAGATTTGATGTCAGCCTCCTAAGTAACCACCTGATTTGGTTTGGGCACTCGAACAGTATTCTACCCCACACATAGGTTCAACGATTTGTGTGGCACATACATATTTTAGTGCCCGATTGTACCAGTGTTTGTCTTTCAATAAACAAATAAATACAGCAGTGTTACTTGGATAACACACACTGCTACATAAACCACAGTTCGGATACATTTTACACTAAACGATTCACATTACAATATTTGAATATGATTGGAAAATTGTTTGGTAATGGGTTGTTTTCCTGACCTTATACATTTTTCGTAATTTTAATTTCAATTACTTATCTTACCGTAAGAATCCTTTATGACTGTATTTTTCTCTACTGAACAGCTCCTCTCACTATATATAAGTCTCGTTTACTTATTTTCAGTAATTTGTCGCTTTTGATTATACTCACCCTCCATCTTATAACTTCTTTAGTCTTATTTCTTTATTATGTGGTGCATATTTGTTTTAGTCATTTGTACCAATACTTATGTACTTAAATAAATGAAACAGCACAGAGCGGGACGACTTGTACGGCTAATCAATTGGGCTACAGTTGAAATCCATTAGCAGGAGTGATTTTGTAAGGTGGCTAAACTATAGGGTTGGTCGCACATTGCCTAATACCTGAATAAACATGTGAGAAGATTTATTAGGCAAGCATATTGTATAGGAAATGCTTCCTGCTTTGATTACAGTGAATCGTTTTTAAGAAAAATGAACTTAAAAACGCGTTAAGCGAAAGAATATTTATTTTCTATTAGTTCCTTGCTAAGACTCTACATTAACACATACTTTACACTTAGGAATGAAAACAATATAAAATAAATGGTCCTTGGTCGATCTGAAAATGTATTAGTATTTTCTCCGGAAGCAACAATCATATAAAAACTCAACAGATGCAAAATCAAACCTAAAGTTTACGTAGTTAGTAATCTTAACTTTAGATTTAATTTTTCATCCATTGTGTTTTTAAATGATTGGCGTTTCTAGAGAAAATATCGGCACAATCTCAAATTGACCGACGGCCACTTATTTATTATTGATTTTATTTTTAATTATAAAAATTGTACAGTGTAGTCTTGATGAGGAACTAACTCAAAAGAAATAATTCTCCACATCTGTCTTAAACATATGAATGAGAGACGAATTTGATAATAAAACGTACCAAGTATGAAAGCATATGTGTTTGGTAGCGTTCGTGAGGCATAAAACGCCAAGTGGAACTGACTGCAGCAGATTATGAGAAGACGTATGCATACATGTTTACCGAAGACTTTCTTCACACAATGTGAGAAATTGGTCAAACTCAGGGCCATTATTAATCCTAAGCACATTCTAACTAAGCAATAAGGTTAGCAATATGTACTACCAATGTACTGGGAAATGAACTTCTGCATTCCTGACAAGGTGTTTACGTAGACTAGCGGCGATACAATCCAGGCAACAGACAAGCAACCTAGGAACGACCTCGGTACAACACCTGGAAAATAGTTATGATCGTACTGTAATTTCAACGTAGAATAATATCTTGTAAACACACCACAGTTATGTTAGTTCGCAAATAGAGCAAGTCGTGCAAGGCTTGCATGCCGAAGCTTTCCTCAACTTTTGTGTAAGGACAGATGAGAACTAAAGTAATGACATATACAGCAAAGAGAATTTCGATGTTCTCCATGTTGAAAAGTGACATTCAATTGTTGATGAGTACGGTATTGTTAAGACAGCAGTTACTGAAAAATGAACCTGCAATAAAAAAAATAGAAAAAGAAAAACATAAGCTAAAGTCCGACTTAATACGTGAAGTCTACATATATTTAATAACTAAGGAGGTAAATCCCGCACACATTATGAGCATACTGGAGTCGTAATTACCTGTCGACCACAACGACCTTGAAGACCAGAATATGTCCTTCATATACGGAACAACCGCCGTTTATCGTGACCTCAAGGTCATGGGGACAAGGAGGGACATTTGAGCTATATACTGTGCCGAAGGTAAGCGGGTTAAAACATTTGCTTTGGAAATTGCTGATTATGTGCATCAATATGTGTAAATCGGGTTCCGATGCTTATTAGTTGTTTGTCGAGCTTAATAATTTATTAGCATTTCATTCATTTCCCATTGAATCATAAACGAATGGAATCCATTTTCTCATCACGTGATCAAAGCTCCATCTGTCTACGGTTTTGGCAAAAATCTAGATCAACTGACAGACCACAGTTGCTAAGACCGATGTAGGCCACCTAGCCTACTGCACTTTTTAAACCGGAACTTTTTAATCTTCCGACCTCGAGGTCTGATCTTGATCATATGATCTGCAAATTTTCCTCTTCCCGGAGAGATTTCGCCTAAATAGTCGACACTGCAGGCGAAAAACTGACTTTTAGCCTATATTTCTCCCAAAATCTAAATTCCCCTAAAATTCGCCCTAATTTTACTATTGTTGGTTTACTGGCCACCGACCTTAAGGTCTGTTGACGAGGGTTAATATTTGCAGCATTTATTCTATGGGAAATCTAGATTTTTTAAGTGTTCACTGTTGGACTGATGGTATTTATACGGTTTGGGTGTTTTAGCGGTTGGCCACACACAAACAAACAATGAATTCTTCGTCTTTTTGAAGACGGAATCGCACTCTGAGTTTATTTGTTCTCAGTTTTTAAACCCTAATTAGGATTCAAATGCAGAGGACTCTCAAGAAGCTTCAAAATTCAGGAATAATTCATGGTATTTCCCGATCCAGGGGAAATTCTAGGGGTTTTAGTCTCATTTCCTCAAAGTTCCTCATTGGCGCTCCCCAAAACTAATAAAATTTTCCTTAAAATTGGGACAGCTTCATAAGACCTAACTGAAATACCTTATCCAACATCTCTCCGAAATCCATAAATATCATATCGACAGATGAACCACTATCTTGGGCTCTGTCCAATTCTTTCTCAGACTTTATAAGTTAATTAAGCATGAGTTTTCTGAAACACGAGTTTATCAGGTTTTTAAATGTGTGATATTACATGATTTAATAATTTCGACCGAATTTTTTTTCAAATACATTAGGTACCCTACTAGTTATACTAACAGGTCAATAGTTAGACACAATCTGTTGCTTTCCACACTTAAATACAGGGTTCTAAAGTCGTGTCTCGAAGGGATGGCACTAATCATAAATATAGCGTGTCAGGGTCTGGGAACTTATCAGTTTTAAGGCTAATAGGTAAAAATGGCTATCTTAGTTACAAGCAACGGCCCTTTAGTTGCCTCAACATTGAGGATACGAGAAGTATTGATAACTGTCTTCGGAGTAGTCTTCATTGAAACAGTTTGATAAACTAACTGTGATCATATCTGGCTCAGTTAGTGTGTCTTCATTCTCGTGCAACTGTAATAGTTGAATCCTGTTAATATGTGAGAAAGAATGTTTTGCACGAGTACGGCTGCCTTGTACCAACTTCCTTTCATAAGAAGTGAGAGTTCTAGAGATAGTCATTTTACACATAATCCAGATCTTTTAGTACCCACACTTAAGTGATTCGTCACTCTTTTGTTAAAAATGAGTCACAAAAGTGTTTTCTACGCCACAGTAACTATCGGATTTCCTTATAAATCCATGGAGGTAGATGTAATAGCTTACATAGAGTTTAAGATGTGGTAAATGGTTTCGCCATATCTTATAGTATGGCTTTAAACTTACCTCTTCTTGTTCAGTCAAATTACCTACACTGACTAACTAATTTTTTGAGATAGCACAGTCTCTGATCCTTTGGATGTTTGTCCACCAGATATTGGGATGGGGTAGAACAGATTCATATGTATACTGTTTTTTAAACCTAAAATGCAATGCAATTCGATCACTGTTCTCCACTGAGGATAGTAGGTAAATTTTATCTACACTATAATGGTGAGTGGGCCTCCAAATGCCGTGGTGCGGCCGAGGGTAAGGAGAATCAACTCACCCCCTCGAAATGCTCTCACGTGACCACGCGTATACAGTGATTGACAGGGAAGTCCTACTCACTACCTTCTCATGGATGTGTTGTTTGCGAACTTGACAGGAGGAAAAGCGAATGTCCGGCACCTTAACTTGGTTGGTGGATATGAAGGGTTCACCTAGGAGTTGAAAAACCCTGATTCCAAACCAACAGTGCATATGGGCTCCAGGATTCTGAGGAAACAAATGGCGTATGGACCAGTCGTTGATGGCCGGCTATTATGAAACTGCATATCCTGACGTTGCTCCACTGCCTTGTAGATTATATCTGTAGGTCAAAAGCTCCGAGTGTGACCCCTTAAGCAAACCACTGGCTCCGATCTAGGCACTCGGGCAGTATCACAGTCCTCACACAAATTAATGATAACTGCTACTGGCCTCATTGTTATTGTGTGGCGCATATGTATTTGGTGCCTCATTGTACTAATGTTTATTTGTTCAAATAAATGAATAATGATGAGTGGAGACAAGGTCCAGCACTGGTGGCCCATTTTTCTAAAGTTAAAATATGCTGGTTTTGTGATACATTGTACTAATGCACATTGTTGACTAATTGATAGTAGGTTGCCGTCGAAACATCCACTTGAAGTTGCTAGTTCTGATAAATTGATTTGCTATTTTGAAATTCCTGATGCTGAAACAGCAATCAAGCTAATTATAAATACATAAATGTGTACCATAATCAAACTTCAGCTAGTGATTGTCGAGGTAACCGACGTATAAACAACTATTTTACAAATATCTCTAAAAGCGTTAACTGTGGGTCCGAATGTAAGCTTTTAGTAAGATAATCGTAACAGAAAACAAATAATTTAAAACATGGGATAGTTTATTGCTTTTTGAACTCGTGCTATTTCGAGTAGAGCGCTTAAGTTATAGTGAAATGGTAAAGAGCTCATTATTGTTCTCTGGAGGCTTCAATGTTCACAGTTTTGCATGATGTCAAAGTGGCGTTCACTCTCAGTGGTTAAGTCGTTCGACTTTCAGCCACTGTGTTGTGGCTTTGAACTCCACACCTTTCATTTCGGTTTGGGCAACTCGGTAGTTTCTCTGACTCACCTAAAGTGTGGCTCAAAGCCGTGTTCACGAATCTGTACATGGTCATTTGAAATTATCGATCAACGCCTTCACATGTTGTTTCCAGTCACTGGGAAAGTGGTTGGTCCAACCCATAACAGTCAACACTGAAGTTTTGCTGGTCCACTCTAAGACGCATCTGAGATACTTTATCGAAGGTTGTACTAAAATTGTTCATAGTTGAATTCATTTGGAGAGATGTTCAGTCTGCAGATATTACCAATCCGTTTTCATCGTTGACAGTATTATGACATTGCTAATTCTTCCTTAACCCTATTATTTTAACTTTAATCATCCTCTCAAGAATTATGAATCAGCTTGAGCAAGATTTGAGGACTAAACCGATTTGCCTGATTGTCCTTGGTATGGCTGGTTCAGGCAAAACGACATTTGTGAAGAAGCTAACTGAGTATTTAACAGTTTCATCAAATTCGTCGTATACAATTAATTTAGACCCAGCAGTTTATCATATTCCGTACAATCCTAACATTGGTAAGCCTCAGTTTACTGGTAATGTTTAAAGATATTCGCGATACTGTCAAGTTTAAAGAGGTTATGAAACAATATGGTTATGGACCGAATGGAGCCATTATGACATCGTTGAATTTCTTCGCCTCGCAATTTCATAAAGTTGTGGATATAATTAACAGCAACTCCGGAAAAGTTTCCTATGTAATAATCGATACACCTGGACAGATTGAAGTGTTCACATGGTCTGCTTCAGGAACTATTATTACAGAACTATTAGTAAGTTGAATTTTATATTTGTTAGTAAAGGTTTATATTTAGGGCAATTCTTTTCCTACTCTGATTATATACGTAATGGATACTCCACGAAGCCACAATCCTATCACATTCATGTCTAATATGCTCTATGCTTGCAGTGTGTTGTATAAAATGCGACTTCCGTTTATATTAGTTCTCAATAAAGTAAGTACTGTATAATTGCTGTTGGATTTTTTAAATCTTTATTTAACCTACCTTATGTATCTATTACTATGATTCTTTGTTTATCAAATATTACTTTGATTTTGTTTGTTAACTATAAGATGCTTCGCAAAACTTCTATCTTCGCTTCTAATAATTTAAACTGAATATTTTATTCAAGTGATGTATTTAACTAGACAATAAGATAATGTTAGCGCCGTAAAGCCTAATGTTCTCCAATTCTATTGGGCACATATAATACAACTTTCTGTATAGAGTTCTCAATGCAACTTCATAAGGTATAAGTTGATGAATGTTAACGATGAATTCGATTATTATTTATGTTCCTTTGGCTGTTCTGTTAATTGGAGATATAGTTCAGTGGTTTTAACACTCAATTACTAATCATGATATCTGTTCAGACTGTCCTCCCTTACTTTAGTCCGGATCGTTGCTGCTACCTTGATGTGGTGGTCGGGCCTGCCTATCGCGCTAAACCATTCGGGTTATACTGGCTGGAACGATCATTCCTCAAGACCCTATCATGCCAAGCAAGTCGGTTGAAGAGTGGTAAGACTAAAAGCAGCAAACCCAAGGTTCGAGGGTGAAGTTGTACTGCTGTCTGTACAGATGTGTGGCGGCGGTAAGGTGTTTTTCTCAGACAAACAGCATAGCAGCAATGCTGAGTTCCCACAAAGGAGGGGTGGGGTTAGAAGTGGTCGATTTAAGAAATGCACACCTCACCCTATCCCACAGATTTCCGTCTCCGGCGATAAGGTCTCAATATATACTAAGCTAACACAAAAACTACCTACAAAGTGGTCGTGTGTGACCGGCCTCAAGCAGCTGTTCCTTGAGCATTACGGTTACGCTCTCAAGTCACTAAGACGAACTCTAACCGAATTTCCTTTTCAGGTACTTATAGAAGAACCCTTCTACGATGTGAGTAATCAGGATGTGGTAACCATCCTCATACCTCCAAGAACACTCAAGACCAAGTCCCCCCTCCTTACTTTAGTATAAATGTTTGAATGATGTCATTATCTCTCACTTAGGTAGGTTTATATCAAAGTCTAGTGAAGAAATTCCGTAAAAGCTATAAACTTAGTTTATTGGGATATTACTCACTGCTAATGATCTAGCACTGTAGACATGCATTGAGTAATTTAAGTCAACTACAGAAAACAGGTAATAGTCATTTTTTTCCAACAGTACGAATACCGGTTAACTTGTATAGCTCAGAAAATAGTTTTCTCATCTTCAAATAAAACAACTCTGTCGTCTATGTCCTACAAACGTCAAATTTCCGTAGTATATCAGTCCCTGAAAAACGAAGTGTAAGAGAATTCTTTAAGTCTGTCCTTCCTAAATGCAGAAGTGAATTGTTGGAGATTTAGTCTGTTCACTTGGGGAAGATACTCCGTTCTCCTCATCGAAACTAGCATGATGGAAAAGTGCTTTCTTGTTTCGCAACAGGAGTGCGCGATAAATAAAATGTACAAATTTTCTGTCATTATTTATGAGCTCTTTAGCTGACAATGTTAAAAATTGCTCCTATTTAATATAACAATAATGCAAATTTAAGTATAACAGAATTAAGCATTTATAGATGTATTTGCCACTTAATTTTAGACATAAGAGTGTCATGTGACTGGTTCAGATTGCATAAAAAACATTGCATAGTTTATTGTCAGATGATAATCAAGGCATTGGTTTAATTCTTAGATTTAGCTAATGAGAATCATTTTATCACGGAATCCAATATAACTGCTAATCTCGTGAATGACAATACAATATTCAGCTATTTGATCATTCTATTTTCGAAAGAGATTAACGTAGCCAGTAATTCACCCTTCTTGCTTGTGCAAATACTCCAGAACTTTGTATACTTATTAGTTCTATGGAGAAATAACAACGGACTTAAATGTATCAATGTCAAGGATGGACTTGATAGTTTCAAATACATTAAGTATTAGGTAGAAAGTTAATTATATATATTTCAACAGTAACATCTTTTACTATAACGTTGAGCGATACAGATTTAAGTATCTAAGTGAATACGTATTTAATGTAGGAAGTTCCTATTCGTCTTGTTGATGGGTGTCCATACTTAAGAAATCTGGTTCTATCAAATACTGTTGACTCTCTACAAAATCAAGTGTAATTAAGTCACATTTCTGTCTACCCCAATTTCTGAATGTAAATGGGATTGTGTATTTTATGGGTTTACCTATGGTTACCGTTGTAATTGTTATTTCCGTAAAATATTCGTACGAACTGAGGTATAAATAAGGGACTAAAAATTTTTTTTGCATTTTACCTTTTTTCACTTTTTTGTAAGACTGACATTATAGACTGTGATTTCGCCATTCAATGGATGAGGGACTTTGAAACATTTCAAGATGCTCTATCTGGTCATCAATCAACTGATGGACCATCTGAAATGGAAGGTGATAATCCTTGTCCTGGGACATCACCATACATGAATAGTCTGGTTCATTCTATGTCATTAGTGTTAGATGAATTCTATAGTACTTTGCGTTGTTGTGGTATCTCGTCGATAACTGGTGAAGGCATGAAAAAATTTGTGGAAGAGATTGATGAAGCGAAAGAAGAATACTTTAAGGTTTGTGATAGTTTCTTACATAAATAATTTTGTGTTTATAGGTAATAATTAGTTGTTTCAAAGTATTATCACGCTGTTACGTTGTAAAATGACTATTACTGATCAGTGTTGAGAACAGGCTTTGATCTATTATCATTATCTGAAGTCTCAAGATGGGAGAGAGCACCTTTAACTTTGCCTTTTTATCATAAATTAGTTGTATGGACAACGGGGAAGTGACAGCAATGCTTATAACGACGCCCAAACTTGCCTTGTTCACGATCTAATCCCTTCTTCGTTTCGTAGTATCTTTCCTTTCCTTACTGTCACCCCTTCTGCAACTTCGCCTTTTTTCTGTACGACACCAGTTCTGACGATTCAAACTCACGAAGTCGTCTTCTTCGTCTCAAAACTACATATTCGAGCTTTCAGTGTGCGAGCTTCATATCAAGTCAAACAGGCTTCATAAGCTAGAAATCTAGAATCTCGCGCCACTGACAAATACCTTATCTCCCAAACTTAGATATAGAATCCCAGTGTGGCCATTCATTTGACCCATCTTGGCAGGTAAACTCCAGAAATTTTTAAGGATGTTGGTTCATTCTCAGCAGCTAAACTGTCTGTGATACTAGCTAGAGTTTGGGGGCCGGACATAATCTCACTGTATTGAACTCAACCACGGATCGTCCCAGTCCACGAGAGATAATAGAAATTATTTCATGGTAACCATAGATCAATCAGTTTTACTGATAGATTATCTACAGCATTACGCTTGATAACCATCCGACGCTTTTCTGAGTCTCTGAAATCATATGCTTCTGGAGACTAGTCTGTTTTTCGACCTTAGCGTAAATTTATCAATCGAATTTTCAACTTTCGTCAGATTTTGAGGCACAATCCTACTTCCCAACTCCAGACTATAATTATACCCGTTGATCTTAAGATTACATTCGACTTCGTCGACTGTATGACTTCATCTGTGTTCATTATGAAAATTTGTAACTAAAAAATACCTAGACTTTTTAATTGCTTTCTAACTAAACACTTGATTGAGTCAGCGCTTATAGCAAACTATCATCGGGATCGCCAACGTCAAAGGGTGTTCGTCAGTATTATCCACTATTTCCTTATTCACTTAATTTTGTCGTGAATTTCCTTCCAGAAATAAAGCCTTATTCATATATTTTTTTCAGGAATTGATCTCTCTCTTCTAAACACACTAATCCGCCTGGAGTACGGAGCTAACATAGTATTTTTTTTAAAATGAAAACGTTACCATAATGCGAAATCTCTTGTATGTCTTAAATAGCGACGCAAGTATGATTTTAATGCTTTTCTCTCCATCTAAATGCAAAATTGTTGATTCAAAACTGATCTGTATCGTCACCAACATTTGATCCATAAGAGATAAAGTAGTTAGGTGCATTGATCACTACACTTATTGCATCAACCTTTATTGCTCGCATCATGATTCACTAACTTTCAACGGATATAGAGGGAAATTATTTGCTTACGTGATGTTATTTAAAATATTGCAGCTTTTATTTGATCCGCTCAAGATCATCTACCGTTGGCTTCAAATTCTGGTTTTTCTGACAAAGATTATTGTTATTTGATGGATCATTGATACTACATTGTTTCAATTTCTTTTTCTATTCATATTGTTATTTTCACTCCATAGTGCTAATGTGATATGCCAAGTTGGGCCAATCCACATCTGTCCCACGTTCTAAGTTGGTATTTGTTTCTGTTTGGATGAAGTGTCATTGTAGTAGTCTTCTTTTCATTTACTTATTTATATTCTGAAGATAGCAAAATTGATATCCTACTATTCTGAATACATTAGTAATAGACCCTCTTGCATTTTATGCAGCATTTTTCTTGTGTGTTCGTATTTCCATCCGAATTCCATAGTGTTCGTTGTATACTATATTATAATCTTCCTTATTACTCTTTCGAAACCTCTGTTCACTTTTCTATGGAAACGATAAAACAAACAGTTTATGATTGTGATGAGACGGCTTTTGTGCCTATCGGAGATGATGAGGTTTAATTTGTTTTGGTATCTAAAATCTAACTTGATAGTGCATACTGAAAATGGTTATTTTTTTTAATGCACATCACAGCTAGGCATCATAATTTTCAAGAGTTTGTCACTACATCATAGGTCTTATTATCTTGTATTCATTAACAGATAAATCTTCCGAGTTTGTATGCTAAACAAGAAAAAAACAAGCAGGATTCAAGTGGTAAGTTAGTATTATATATATACATATATCTTATGTAGTAAACTGTGGACTATACATACCGTATAAGATTTGAACACGCGACTCGACGTACTAATCAATTCCAATGAAACATGATTTGACACCGTAACTTAGGGATCTAAATTGACTTTATGGTTGTACTATTCAAATAATGTGATAAAGATCTATAAAATGTAATCAATATTATACATTTTTCCTGAGGATTGTATGACTAAGTTAGTATGTAAGACTATTCACTCCTTTCCAGATTATTATGGAACTGGCATTCGATCTGCACTAAGAAGGACTTGACACACATGGAATTGATCACCACCCAGTGATCAATCAATTGTGAATACGTCTCAGTCCTACAGGAGGTCGGTCGCGGCCCGAATAGCCCAGTGGTAACTTCTCTGACTGTGAAGCTGGGTGACACGGGGAAGAATCCGTCCCAGTCCTTTTAAGATTACAGGTACACCTTGTTGACTGACGAGTAACAAATAGAACTAAACCCGGGTCCAGGGTTTCCTGTTGACTACCTCCAACCACCATCTTATCTCAAAATAGTGCACGCAATGTTGAGTCATCTAAACTAGTGGCTACATTGCGACTTGGTTGATAGCATTCGATCTGCACTAATAAGGACTCGACACACATGACATTGGTCACCACCAAGTGATCAATCAATTGTGAATACTAGTACCGTGCTTCAATTATTAATATTTCAAATCTATTTAACAAAAATTGTTTTTGAGTTATAACTTATCGGATTTTTATGTTTGTTTTGCATTCAGATAAATCTAGTAAGTCTCATTCATCCAAACATGGATCAATGCTTTTGGATTTGGCTGGTAATGATGACGAAGCTGAAAATGATCCGCTACCTGATGTTGATGGTATAGAAATTCGTCCACACAGTGATTCAGATGATAACGATGATGATGATGAACTTTTAGAATCAAAAGATCTCACATCTATTCAAAGTAGGTTTCAGTTAACTAATCAAAATTTTAAATGATAACAAAGCGCTTAATCTTAAAAAAGTTCATTCTGAGGAGATGGTCTATCAAGTTATGAGATTTCATATTATGCCACTTATTTACTCTCATACTTGTTATAATCCATTGTTTTATGTTAATCGAAGCGCCCCCAAATGCCTTGGTACGGCCGAGAGTGGGGAGAGTCCGTTCTCCCTCTCCAAATGCTCTCGCATGGCCACGCGTATATAGCCTCTGCCAGGGAAGTCCCACTCATTGCCTTCTCGTGGCCGGGGTGTTGTTTGCGAAAATGAGAGGACGAAAAGTGAATGTCCGGCGCTTTAACCGGATCCTAAACCAAATCAATGGTGCACATGGGCTCCAGTATCCTGTGGGAACAAATGGCGTATGAACCAATTGTTGGTCACCGGCTACCATGGGACTGCATCTCCTTACGATGCTCCACTTACTTGTGGATCAGACCTTCAGGTCGAAGGCTCGGGGAGTGGCCCCCTAAGAAAACCACCTGTTCATGTTTGGGCACCCGAACAATATCACAGCCCTCACACATATCGAATGAGATTTGTGAAGACATTGTGCTCCTTTGATGTAAACACTTTATTTACAAATGTACCTCTTAGGAAAACCATTGATATTTTGTGTGACTTTATTTCTTCGAAAAACCTTCCACTACCTTTTCCTGTTAAAACTCTTAAAGATTTATTATTATTATGTACAGATAATGTAAAATTCACATTTGAAGGTGAACACTTCAGACAAATAGATGGTGTAGCTATGGGCAGCCCTCTAGGACCATTGCTGGCTGGTGTGTTCATGGGATATGTAGAAAATTTAGTTGGAGACTCAATTCGAAAGATGGGTCTGTATAAACGATATGTAGATGACATCATAATCATAGGTGATAAAATTGAAGACATAAGCTGCTTGTTAGAAGAATTCAATAGTAGTCAAAAGCACATTTCTCTTACATGTGAAGAAGAGAAGAACAACCAACTTCTTTTTCTTGACATCCTGATTACTAGGAGAGATGATGGCTCCATCAAACGTACTACATATAGAAAACCAACATGGACAGGACAATATCTCAATTTTCATAGTCACTGCCCTATTCATTATAAACGCGGTTTAATAAAGAGCTTATTCAATAGAATCAATCGTATTTGTACTAGTGATACTATTGAAGTAGAGATGAAGCTCTTGACTGATGCGTTAATTAATAATGGTTACTCTTTGAAGTTCATAAACCGCTGGAAGGGTTGCAATATGCCTAGACCTATGACACTTCTGGCACCCAAAAAGCGAGTTTATATTACGCTACCATTCAGAGGTGACACAAATAGTCTCATGTTGAAACAGAGACTTAAATTGGCTATCAACCGGACATTTTATGCAGCCAAACTTGTCATTATCGAAAAGACAAGGTCTATGTTTCATCAAAAGCCCAAACAGCAGGAAAACGATTGTGTCACATCCCATTGTGTCTATAAATTTACATGTATGTGTGGAAACACGTATGTAGGGAGGAGCAATCGTGATTTGCAATTAAGGGTGGGTGAACATATACCAAAATGGTTGCAGAATCAGATGAATTCCAATGGTGAAATAAGATCACAGGATAGACAGACATCATCATCCATTGCGAAACATTTGATTGAGACGGGTCATAAGGTTGATATCAAATCAGCATTTGTTGTATTGTACAAAAGCCTTCAAGGACGTATACTAAGGTTTATTAAAGCCTTGGCTATACGGAAATTGAAACCCCCTTTATGTGTTCAAAAACAATTTATACTTACACTTAACCTACCCTGGTAGTACTTATTTACTATCCAGAGTGGTAATCACATTTGTTTTTGTGTACTTTAATATTCTTCCTTTGTTATGACTTACCCTTAACCTGTCTAGTTGACCTTTTAATTTTTCATATATAAATGGTCTTAGCAAGTACATTATGTGTGATCAGATTGTTCGAAATGTATTGCGCAATTATATCACATAATTCTGATAAACTACGTCTTCTCATTGCATTATCGAAATTGATGCATATGTATTTGGTGCCTCCTTGTATCAATATCTATGTGTTGAAATAAAATAATAATCGAAGCTATTCTACAGTAATACTGTGTTGTTATCTAGAAATTTTTATATAGAATTTATTGTCAACAAGCTTCCTTCTATAATACACATAGATTTTAATTAGTTGTAATATGTGTGTAATCTCATGGTCGGATAGATTTTCTGCTTATTTAGAGATTGTTTCTTTGAGATATTTCAATATCATATATAGAAACATCTTAATCCCTTGCCAAATTTCCTTATGAATTCACATATTTCAACTGCTTGTTTGTTCTTCTACTTGGTTGTATTTTGTTGAATAAATAATAAATCAAGAGTAAAACAAATACAATACATGACATTAAGTGATGAGGCACATACTAGAGTTGAGAATGTAAGACAGTGGATCTGGACATTAGTTTAGAAATTGATGTCTTTATCAGTAATCACTCCTTAGCCCTATTATATTCCAATGTAACAAACAGAACAACCGGTGTGATGTTCAGTTGTGCCTACCTATTTGGAAATTTTTGTTTATTTATTTAAACATATAAATATTGGTATAAATACACACCAAAATGTATATGCACCACACAAATCATTGAATTTATGTGTGGGCTAGAATACTGCTCAAGTGTCTAAACCAAAATAGGAGGTTTTCTTAGGGGACCATCACTCAGTCTCTAACCCAGGGATCTGATCCATAAGTTAGTGAAGCGATGTTAAGAGGTGCAGTTTCATGACACCCAGGGACCAACAATCAGCATTCGATCTCTCAGGATCCTGAAGTTCATGTGAACCGTTAGTTTGGAATCAGAGTATTCTAACTCCCTTAGGTGTACTCTCCATATCCACCAACCCGGTTTAAGCATTGGATATTCTCTTTTCGTCCTCTTAATCTCGTAAACAACAACATGAGAAGGTAGTGAGTAAGACTCCCGTTTCAGTGGGTTTCTATATATGCGTTGCCACATGTAAGCATTTCAAGAAGGAGCGGACACTCTCCTCCCTCAGCCGTACCAAGGCATTCGGAAAACTCGGAGGCCTCAATTACTAGCGTTCCGCTGAATATTAAGGTGTTTTTTACCCCTTTGTAATAGAAAACCTACCACAAAATGTGAGTTCTGTTCCCCAATCGGTAACTAAATCGTCAGCCTCAAATTTGAAAATCATAATTTTGAAGTGTGGTATAAAAAAGACATCATCACATACAAGAGAAACGGAGATTCGATCCTACCAAAAGCAGGGCGTGTGAAACGTCTGAAATCATGGTATCACAATTTTCTTCATCCGTATGGGGTTGTCAAGATTATTAAGTTTTTAATTGAGATCATGCACCGATTGATGCTAGACCACCATTGAAAACCTGGAAGCACTTGACGGCCGTTTCGTCCTACCGTGGGGATCAGTGCGTAAACACGATACCGCTCGCTGGATTCGAACCCAGACCCTTCACTCTCGCGCGCAAATGCTTAACGATTAGACCACTGAGCCGGCATTCAACGGTGTTAATGTCTAATTTCAACCAATCCACGAAATTGCGCGACCATCTTCCATTGTTTAATATCAGTCGGTTCATGATCTCAGTCACAATTTTCCTAGTGTACGTTAAGCTGTAGATTTCAAGTTTACTGCTTCAAATATTGATCTTAGTTGCACGTTTGCTTTGTTCCAGAATTCATACCACTTAACTTTTTTCTGGTCAACGTTTTTTTAGCGAGTTAGTTTTCTACAGGATGGGGTTGCTTATTTCATGCCCAACCCTCCTCCTTTAACCGGACTTGGGGACCGGCAGTAGTCTTAGAGGGGCTACAGGCGGAGTTATACCATTTAATAGCAATCAATCAGTAACAACGTAGAACTTAGTACGTACGTACATCAGTTCGAGTTGCCATACCACATTAGCACAGAGATGCAGTGGTCGATTCAAATCCCGTAGTGGTAGAGGTAGCAAGAGTATAAGCAGTAATCGGGAGGATTAGGGTTTGGAGATGTTATTTAACGAGTATAATCCAGTGAAATAAATTTGGAAAGAGGAAAAAAAAGGGGCATGAAGAATTCAGATAATTAGAATTTGGGAGAACACAAAGAGTGGATGCACCTGCGCCATTGCAATCGATTTTGAGCCATGTCATTCAGGGTCTCTAACCATCGGTTGCTATCATCTCGCGGTCCCCAACCAGGTAGTCTACACCTACCAACATGACTCAGTCCACTTGTCAGTGACTTCATGGACTTGTGTCATGTTTTGGTCTGGCCGCCCCTAGCTTTCTTCCAACCTACTCCTATACCACTGAATATAGCACGTCGAGGTAGTCGGTGGTTGGGCATACGTAACACGTGTCCCAGCCATCTCAACTGATGAAGTTTCACTACTTCATCAATTGATTTGCCATCCTTACCTAGTACCCGTTTCCTAACAGCTGCGTTACTTACTCGGTGGTCCCAGGATATACGAGCAATACTTCGAAGACACCTATGATCAAATACTAGTAACCTACGAATATCCTCTACTCTTACCGGCCATGTTTCACAGCCATAAATTAGGACGGAACGAACTGCTGCATAGTAAACACGTCCTTTGGTTGGTAGACGGATATCTCGCCTACGCCATAAATGACGCAAGTTGGCAAAAGCTAGTCGAGCCTTCTGTATCCGTGCTGAGATTTCGTCACACACCAGACCACAAGGGCTGATGAGACTTCCAAGATAAGTGAAGCGGTCGACACACTCAACTACTTCACTCCCTATCACTAGTTCGGGTGTCGATACAACCCAATCCTGAAGCAACATTTTGCATTTCGAGGGAGAGAATCGCATCCCGAACATGCTTGCATTGTTGCAATATCTATACATAAAACTTCAAATAGTAGTATTTATTATTATCATCATCCTGATATGTTTGTTTATTTTGTTTAAATTTAGATAAATTTCAACAATCATGCTCTGTTGATCCTGTTCCTTCTATGAATTGTGAAAATTAATTCCTTCTATAAATGGAAATAATTATCTTGTACAAAATATAAATATTTCTTGTTGCTGAGATTCTAGCATTTTTATTATGATTATTGTTACTGAATAGAAAATGAAGAGAATTCAGTGAAGAGAAATTTTCTCTTCTCGACGAAATCACTTCATTAACCTATACATTCGTATTTATAGTTATATGAAAAATATATGTCAATATATAATCATTGAGCCGGGATTATGTGAAAGTCCTACTCACTACTTTTTCACGGCAGTGGTGTTGTTTACGAAATCAGGAGGACGAAAAGGGAATGTTCAGCGCTTTAACCGGGTTGGTGAATATGGAGGAGTTGAAAAACCCTAATTCCAAATCAATAGTGCACATGGGTTCCAGAATCTTGAGGGGACAAATGACGTATGAACCAATCGTTGGTTACCGGCTACCATGGGACTACATCTCCGTACGTTGCTCTATTGTCTTGTGGATCAAACCTTTAGGTCAAAGGCTCCGAATGTGGCTCCCTGAGAAAACCGCCTGCTTCGGTTTGGGAACCCGGGCAGTATTGTAGCCCTCACACAAATCGAATGATTTATGTGGCGCATATCTATTTGGCGCCTCCTTGAACTAATGTTTATGTGCTTAAATAATCGGATATACGACGTTTACTGGTTAAATCTGTAAATTTTCTGGGTCTATGGAATCATCAGAGAATGTTTTCACGTAGATTAAAACATTTTTTCACATTATTCAAAATTTCATGAAAATATTACTGAATAACAGAATATATCGACATGCTTAAAACTTCTGGAGTCTACCTACCAAGTTCTGCTTCTCCCCGTCTCTTTGAATTAGGCAAAGCATTTTTAACCTAGCCAACAGTTTGTGGTCTTGTATAGAGTTTCCATTCAGGTTGGAAGGAAATAGGAAGTAATGGAAGATTATCTGGAAGCCAGCTGAATACTTTCTTGAAGTGTTTTTTTCATTGTTTCAGTTTCCTAGACTGAGATCGGGTCGTAACTTTGTGCTTACCCCGAATGGCTCCACTAACAGATGACTTATCAACACCTGATGCTTCTGATGAGTTAGAACAACTGTCTTGTGTGACCTGTAGTCTCTGTCTTATGTATCTCTCTTGCTTCCATCCCCAACTAATGCGCGCAGTCATAGTACAGATGTTTTGCCAATTTAGGTTTACACTCCTTATCATTATCCAAGCATCCCTAGATATCTTCGAGCAGCTGACAACGTAGTAGAAATTCGTGAAATTCACAGATCGTTCATAACCGTTCGATTTAAGTCACAGAGATATCACTGCTATTTTTACAACTGTTTGAATATCATGTCAAGCTATTTCGGGATGAGCACTAGTTTTGTGTTCGACTAAGTGCTGTTTTTCTGGAATATACTCAACCTTTTGATCGTTGAGGTGAAAGAACAACTGTCTAAGCCTAGCTGCAGGAGACGGTTATCTTATTATTCTGACTTGTTATTGTTCTTTAGACCTAATGTAGATTAATTATGAACTCCCATTTAATAGAGTTCTTTTTTAAAATTTTCATATTTCTAAAGATAGTTGTCATGTCATAATAATATCATCTGAAGAAATATCGATAATCAGGATGTACAACACAGACATTTCACTAAGTATACTGATAGCCTGCCATAAATGTTATCTGTAATCTATGCAACTCTCTGTACTCCAGGTTCTAGTTGAAAATCATCAACCAATATGGTGAATAAATTATCTTAAAATTGTATTTGCAAACCTAATGCCAAGTGTCCTGAGGAACTACTTAAAATTTGACAGACTCTCATTAGGAATGGTTATCTATCTATATCCGTCGATATTAAATTATTATCTGGAAGAAGCACCGACTATACAAAAGATAATTTTTTATGAATATGAAAATTAAAGGAGATACAATTGCTAAAATTTTGAATAGACGGATTACAAAATCGTTGAATAAAACATTCTACTTAGCTAAACTCCGAATTGTTTTCTCATTACCTTTATGTTTGTTGCTTTTTTATATATCTGTCATTTGGACAATTATCTGACCCGTAAATTATTTCCATACTTCTATTTTTCTCTAACCTCCTGATTATTACACAACCCCATCTGATACTTAGTTTCGAATCACTTTGTGATGCAATCGTTTCTATCCTTCTTTAGACATATATAACTATATATACAAATGTACAGCTTAAGTAAATGATTTCGTCAAAAAGGGAATTTTCTTCGCCGAATTCTCTCTATTTTTATCCAATGACACAATGGGTTATTTCGATTAATGTCACCTTTTTTTATGAGTTTCAACGTTGATTTCAATAACACTTTGTCAATAAATCTATACACGATAGTATCCTGGGTGAATTGCACACAACTAACGCCTAGTTAATTAATAGGAGCATATATCTGCGATATGACCACTAATTACTCGTCGAGGTTGTATTGGTTATGGTATACATATCATTGATAATAGCGACCCTTACCGATAGGAAAACGTCATTGCACCGGAGTAATTATGTGGAAGAAACTGTGCTGAAGAGTATTTTATCCAATATACACGGACCTAAATAAACTAACCACTTTTTGGTCGCAATGTTCCTTAGATCGGTTAAATGTATTTGTTTACTAGTGAAAACACAATGATAATAAATAACGTAGCCGCATTCACCTTACAATCGAAAAAGTCAGGTCAGGAAACAGCAGATGATATTTTGTTTACTCGTGACCGGCTGTCAAGTACTAGGTTAGCTGGAAGTTGTTTATCAGTTCGTCTGATGCAATATAACTAAAGTTGGTTTTCCGAAGAAAAATCTCCATAAGAACTTATTTCAAAGTCAACACATTAAACCAACAAGTGGATGTAAAGTTTTGCGTACTAAACAACCATTGTCAGAACACCGTACATTTAGATGACTTACCGTATTTATAGCAATACGTTCGGTGTGTGTAATGCTGCCTGTATTCTAAACGAAAGTAGGAGTTGACCAGTCACACACTCGTATTGAACAGTTTTTGAGGACACGTTGAAGTCCCTTCCAACTTTGTTCATTAGACTGTACGAACACATTGGTTTACTTTCCGATAATGTACAACATTAACTTCTTGTTTAGAGATAATTTTACATTTATGGTTTGACCTTAGCTCCAAAGGTAGAGATTTAGTCAATTTCTAGTATCTAGACAGTTCGATTATGCCTACAACTGCTTTTTATTGATCGCGCCCTGAGCAGTAGGATATTGATGAAAGAAGTTAAAACGAATTACGCAACATTGTTCGCAAAAATTTACTCGAACGAATGTCAACTACGTACCGCTAATTATAGGTGTGGACTGTTTTTTCTCTCCTGCAACCCACTAATTAACACCATTAGATGACTTTAAGAAAAAAATTTTTATTTCATATTCTATTCACACAACAGAAACATATGATTTACAAGTCTCGATCGTAAGAAGGAAGAACATCTGAGATCACAAGTCGTGTAAGAATTGATACTGCTTATTGTAGACCTAAAATAGAGTTCAGCACGTGAACTACACCCAGAATCACAGGTTGCCATGCGACCAAATACCGTACCCAATCTAAGAGATTTCCGTATAGTAAATGTGGTTTATCCCATCTAATATTACAGAAATGTTAAGAAAGTTAATCACGTAAAGTTTTACTACTACATTGTTGTTTAATACTGTAGACAAAATACGCATTCATTTCTATGCGTTAATGTATTACATAATTCTGATAATGCTTCATCTTATTATACTATTTAAATTTATAAATTCTGTTGATTGCGATAATATAAGACTAACTTTGATTGATTCCCTGAATTGATTTACCGTTATACGGGGAACATTTTCAACAAGTCAACATTAACGACTGCTATTTTGTGTGAATTATAGAAAAATACAACTTGAAAACCTAACTGATGCAAAAAAACCAACAACAACAAAGGATACGGATTTGTAAATGTCTTTTTCAAGTTGACTTTCTCATTGCAATACGGACAAGTATCTTTCTTTCCAATAATGCACCAACCTCGAATACAAAAGTCATGAAAGCTATAATACGTAAACCAATAATAAGGAGTTAAGCAATATTATATATATTTGATTAAATATTGTTTTAAAGTGATAATACTGTATTTAAAAGAACCATTCCATGGTGATAAAATGTTACTATTAGCAAATGAACCTACATAAATAGAGATAATCACAAACAATTTACAACAAATTATACTAATGGAACAATTTGACAGTCTATTGAAAAAACCAATTGAGAAAAAAAATGAAGAGTTACAATTGATTCGTATCGATTTTCATATTATAAAAACTATATAATTAGTTCACAGCCAACATACGAATGATGAACTCTTCATGTCTATGGAAATTACTTTTCTCGCTTCGAAAAACAATAAATTGATTCAAATTATTATCATTACAATTATTGTCATTATTATTATTATTATTACCATTATTGTTATTATCGTTATTATTATTATTATTATTATTTTCCACATTATTCACCCTCTTTTATACTTATACAGCGGCTCGTCTTTGGTGGAAATTCGACTGTATCTAAACGTTCTCGAGTCACTGCCCGGTTGAAAATTGTATGTTACCACCGAATACGAGAACTGAAGCAGTTTTTCTGAAACCACGTGCACCATTCAAACTGGCTGCCTTCAACGTTCGCACACTAGTGCAGGTCGGACAACAGATAGGGCTGGCTATGTCTTTGGAAAGTCTTAATATTGATGTTTGTTGCCTATCCGAGACCCGTATTCAAGACTCTGGCGAAGTACTACAAATTCGATCTCCATTTGTCGCTTCGAAAAGCTTGTTTTACGTGCGCTTATCCGTGAACCCTGTGGCATCTTCGTCTGGTCTTGCTGGCGTTGGTGTCGCACTAAGCGCTAGAGCTGAGGCAGCACTAGTCGATTGGATCCCCATTAACAGTCGGTTATGTGCTGTTAGATTAGAAAGTTCCATCAAAGTGAGAAGAAATCGCCGTGAGAAACGATGTCTTTTCGTCATCTCCGCCTATGTCCCGACAGATTGCAGCCCGGATGCA